CCCTAAACCTCAACCCTAAACCCACAAAGTCCGCAGGGCGCTGGCGCCGAGTTTCACTGCTTGGCCTGGAATGGCCTCTCTTGGCTCGAGTGGTAGGGGCTCTCGGAGCAGCTCTAGGGTTTATGTTTAGGGTTTAGGGGTTTAGGGTTTAGGGTTTAGGGTTCAGGGGTTTAGGGTTTAGGGTGTAGAGTTTAGGGTTTTAAGGGAATATAGGGTTACGTAGGGGTATATTGGGGAATATAGCGGTAAAAGATAGGGTCATATAGGGATAATGGAAAAGGACATGGAAACTACGATTTAGGGTTTAGGGTCAGTAGGGAGTATGTTATGTAGGGATTGTATGATGATTCCATTCCCTTCTTCCCTACTAAGCGCTAGTAATTTGGGGTGTGTGGATTTTGCGATCAGAGTGTGGGTAAGGGCTCAATTAAGGTGAAGACTCGATGATGTCGGGCTGCAATCTGAACAGCTGAATCTGGCGTATCCACAGCTGAGATCCAAGAAACGGATGTTGAGGGTGCCATGTGCGGCTACCATTACTACTACTATTGTTCTTACTAGTATTTGTTATTAGTCATTCCTGTTACCATTAATCATTATGAATACTATTCCTACTATTACACTTCACTACGACTGTAGGTCATTTTTCGGGTATGCTTGGCCACAGTTGCTCGTCCTCCAGGGCTGTGCAACAATCCAAGACGTGTTCGGGTAAGTAGGCCCGCTTCATGCAATGACCGGCGACACTGGGCCTCTGATTGTTGAGACTTCCATTTGGCAAGGTAGCATGACTTATCCTAAAGCCACCCAAGTCTGGTGGCTTTGGTGCCCTCACGCTCCCCTGTAGTTGGAATCCCAACCCCGAAGCTTCCAAGCAACGAGGTCCGTGTTTGGAAGTGGGGTCCGAAGGACATGCTGCTTCTACACCCTTGCTTCAAATAGGGGAATATATAGGGATAATGGAAAAGAAAATGGAAATGACTTTGTTATAACAGCAAATATATATATATGATAATATAGGGAGAATGGAAAAGAAAATATCAACTGCTGCTTCTACATCCCTGCCTTCATAGCCTGGGCTCCTATAAGCATAGCACACAAACCCCAAACCCCTGCAACCCATCTAGCTCTACAACTCCTGAATCCCTTCAACTCCTACGCTGAATATAATTTTACCTAGACCCAAAGCAGCTGCTGCTGCTCTAGTATTCTGTACTGCTTCTTCATTTGTTATGCTTCGACTGCTACTCGTAGGTGACTCTTATCTGGAAAGTGTTCTGAACGTCTAAACTTCTAAATCTTTAAGACCGCCCTCAAACCGATGGCCTCAGCCCGGAACGCTTCACCCCAAAGCCCTCAATGCCCAACCCAAACCCTACCCCTCACCGAAACCTCAAACCCTCTTTCCAATCCTGCATTGCCCAGTGTTGTGGGCATCTCGGGCGATCTTCTTCTCTTGAGTGGAAGGAAGGCCATGGGCGAGGCGCCTTGTTTTGCTCAGAGGGGGATACTTGAGGCTTGTCTGTTGTTTTTGAATTTTTGCATGGGTATTTTGTAAAAGTTGGGCGCTCTGGCTCTGATGGGTCCCAAACTCATCCAAACTCTCATTGACAGTTTTGAGAAGCCCTGACTGAACCTTCTACTATCCCAAAAGCCCTACAAGACTCAACTTGTTGTACTAGAACCCCGCTACTCAGTAGCACGCATGAAGGAACACTTGCAGTCGGAGTTGGAGATTCAAATCATATTTTAAACAAACCCCGCCTTGGCATCACTATCACCTTCACTACTGCGAATACAACATTCCGGAAACTACATCTGTGTTCAGAGCTGTTTTCATTCTTATGACCTTCACATGGTCAGCATCGTGAATATGTTACTATAGCATCTATTGAGCCAGTCTTGATCATGTCCTACGCAAGCAACCTTTATAACCCCGGCAAGGTTCGGGACCTTGATGCTTACACTTCAAGGCTGAGGGCCTAGAATTCCCTGGGAGGGTGGGGGAGCTTTGTTGGGCAGGGCTTCCCACTCCCCCCTGCCCCGCGCGGCGTCTGCTGCTTGAACAAAGACGCTTAGAGTTGGCAAACAGGGTGTACACACACAACATGCCGCAACTCTTCAACCTTACACCTGGTCCCTGGATCTCTCAGGTCTACCATTTAGCACCTGGAGCCTTCGAACCCAAAGCCCAGCAGCACGGAATTGTCGTATCGTCCTTTAGTGTCAAGGTGGGTATGGGTAGCAATGGCAGTAGCACAAGTTGCAGTGATTGTAGTTGGGATCACGCTCTCATATCTATGCCCTGAAGCCAGGAAGCATTCCTATTGGGAGATGCGATTATCTACGACACTGACGTGAACGTGGCCATTGTCTTCAAGGCTTGCGTCAAGTCCGAATCTGTGTAAGATCTTGCGGAACTATGGGTCAGGTCTCCAGGACATGTGGTAGCTTCCATCTCATTTTCTCCATTTCCCGAACGTTTGATTCTCCATTAACCACAATACATAACATAACATTGGTACATCTAGGTACGTTGGTACACAATAGTCTGCTGCACATGTTGGTGTAAGATCACCTTTGATAAATGGGGGCTTACACAAATCAGGGGTACCTCCTTGGGGGCCCCCATAAGAAAGATTATGAAGTTTTTGGGTCGTCATTGGCATGATTCCCTACATATCCCCAATATATACCCTGCCACATCCTGTCAAGAAGAGTTGGGATTTGCCTAGAGATTCGCTGGACTGGCATCTGCGTCCCAGGGGCCTGAGCTCTCAAGCAAAATCGTATATCGTTACAATTATTACTATTATGATCATTATTTCTATTGTTACTATTGTTGCTAGTATTACGATTATCATTACTACTACTGTTATTACTACCCATATTATGAATAAATTGTCCCAAGCCCTAGACCGTGATAGCAAAGCTGGGAGAGGCTGGGGAGCCACTTCGCCTTCGTTTCCAAGACGAATCTGGGGGAAAAGACTTTGCCGATGGAGCGTGCCGGCCATGCTTCCCTTCCTTCAGGGAGCCCCTCGAACTTTTCCATGTAGTTTCGTTTTCGAGGTGCTTTGGAAGCCCTGTGCGGGGTGCACAAAACTTGAGCTGCAATGGGCGGTGTACGGTGAGCGGCTGGGGTTGGGTTTGATGCACGAATCTGCAAGAGCTTAGCTCGTTGGCCTCAGATTTTGTGGGGTTCAGGGACTTCAAGGGTCGGCTTCGAATCGCAGATGTCTGGTTAATGGCTTCTGGTCTGTCATTTTAAACCTCCGCAGATTGCGGTTCATGCTGCCCAGCCAAGGAGCACGGCGTAGAGTTGCGCTTTAGGATGTGTTTCTCCATTCTTTCTCCGCCGCCCAGCATTTTTTCCTCGATTATGGCACGTAGCTCTCTGCAAACCTTACATGAGCCATAGTAGAAACTCCTTGAAGGGTCTTCATATAGGGGACTGTATAAGGACTACTGTAGGGGATACTAGGAGTTTAGACTATAAACCCTATAATCCCTACATAATCCCAGTTTCCATTTCATCTTCCATTTTCTTTTCCATTTGATTCTCCATTATTAAGGGGGATAACCCTATATAACCCCATTATAGTAGTTTCCATTTTCTTTTCCATTATCCCTATATATACCCATTTGTGGTAACTTAATTTAAGGAGCTCACAAGAAGAAGACTTGCAACTTCCAGGAGCGAGGGTGCCTAACCATAGCATGCACCAACTTGCGGGGCAAACGCCGAAAAACTGGAAGCCCCCAATCAATGTAGGGCATGGGTTTAGGGTTGTGGGTTTTAGGGTTTAGGGTTTAGGGTTTTAGGGTTGAGGGTTTTAGGGCTTAGGGTTTAGGGAGCTCCCAATCGATGCCAGGTTCGCAAAGCAACGATGTTTAGGGAGGCTGGGCCTGGATGCTGTCTTGCCTGGATAAAAGGTTTGGGTTAGGTCAATCCCGCTTGCAGAAATCGACCCTAAACATGGAGTTAATAGGGCCGTAATGTACCTACAATAGTCCTTTGTGGTACCCATTACGGGGTGTGGGATAGACCCAAGGTTGGGGGACCCTGGGCGTGAAGATTTAGGTAGAACTGGCAACCGGATCATTCTTTGTCAAGGGGCAGTTTTGTGAACAGTAGTGAACTGATCCCAAACGTGGTTGTCATTAGCACAGGTAGCCTGACAGGACATGTTCGACCGTCAATCAATCTTTATCGTTTTCACTGCTGCAGAATCCATGAGTCGAGCTGGCAATTACGCAGAGCTGAAGCATCGGCCCGCAAAGCCTGCGAATTTGTTTTGCTAGGTGTTCTGCGAAGAATTCATACGTGATGCTATGTGGAGTTTTTTGGTCTTCATGCCGACCAGGCCTCATGAACACAGCTCAGCATAGCGCCCTAGCTTGGTATCATGCTCCTTATGGTAACAGGGCTCTTCGAGGGCCATGTTAAAGCATTCAGGACGGAAAACGCAGGCAACTGTCATCAGACGTTATCAGACAAGATTGCCGGCACTGCTTGTTACTATGCGGAATCCAGGGCTTGGTTATATTGCAAGGCAGGGCCCGTGGTGTAATTTTGTATCAACAATTTGTATGGATTCGAGTCTTGGCACAGAGTGCCTGGACCGACATACAGAAGCTACGAAGGAGCAATCTTGAACTGAGATGCCGGCTAGAAATACGTGCATGTTACACTGCATCCTCAGTATTCAGCAATCTGAGAAAACAGCAGAGGACCATGCATAAAATCTTGAATTTGCGTATTGTGCCAATCCTTTGATGCCCCTCTGTGGTTGAGCAGCAGGCTCTTTCACACAATCCCTCGCCTCGCTAGTTTCCTACCATGTCTGGAAGAAACACGCGGAGCAGTGAACACATGCTTGAATCAGCTCAAAGCACCCAGAAATGCCTGAATCTTGGAGCTCCTCTGTCAGGGTATGTTTCAGTTGGCCGAGCTGGCAGTTGTCGCTGCCTCAATTTGGGCGGCTTTATGTTGTCAGCCCTTACAATACTCCTCAAAGATTGTAACCGTAATAGCTATACATAGAAGAGCCCTCCCTATATGATACATAAAAGGGGCCTCTAAATCTTCTCACGGTTCTCATATATCCCTAGGGTCCAGTAGGCCCCCCATGCTAATGCTTGATATGTGTTCCAAAGCATGCGCTGGTGTACTTATCGCAGCTTGTCTCCTGCTCTCGTGGGTGCATAGGTACTTTCGGACCTTGCTGTTTCCTTGGATGGTTGAGAATTTGCAAGGTCTGCAAGGTCATTAGATACCTCCTTAACTCTCGAGATAGATTGGAAAGCAATCGTCAACGACCCAGATAGGATTTCCTCAAAAGGGTCCATGTTTGGAATGGCACAGCGTAGTGCGTGCCCAATGTGACCCACGCAGTTCCCCACACACACAAACACCAAACTGGAAAGGCCCACAGGCCTGATGTCTCAAGCCATTGTGGCAGCCCAGAATCCTTGATCCTAAGTTTTTCTCTTTTGAGCTATAGTCTAAGCCCCTTAAAGCGGGGTTATCTAGGGGATTTTATGGGGTTATTAAGGGGGTTTAGGTTAAGCTGCCAGAATCAGACTTCGGGCTTGGATTCGCCAATCAGACAGATACACAGCCCTGAATCCCAAACGAAGCCTTAAACCCTAAATGATAGTTTCAATATTCTTTTCCAGTATCCCAATATACGCCCAACATACCTTCAATATACCACCAATATTACCCTAATGTAACCCCAATATAACGCCAACATAATGTTTCATGTGTCTGAGGACATGAAGCGAAAGTTGAATTCTCGCAGCCAGAGTGCTTTGCGGCACGTTTGCTTTCAGCAGGAGAGGGTGGACTCTGGAAGTAGCTTTAATTGGGTGACAAGAAGGGGTCCGAGGAAACTTGCATTGGGGTAGGCTGAGAGGCAATCTGAAGCTGTTGGGGGCCAAGGTTCATATGATACTTTCTGAAAGGACTCAGGGTATCCTTTGCGGTGCTGATCTCTAAGCTGGCAATCCCTTTCTTTTGCACCTTTTGGGTCCGTTATGTGTGGGGTGTCTTCGGTTCCAGGGATTGTTGCGGCTTCGGGGTTATGTAGTCGAGCTATTGGGGCGTGGGTACTGAAGGCGCTGAAGATTCAAGCCAGCATGGGTAGAGCACTCCAATGGAATGCACGAATCCTGCCCTTGCTGGCAAGCCTAAAAGAAGGGACATCAAGGTTTGGTAGCTGAAAGTGCAGACTGTGACGCGTTGTCTGGCATCCCCCGTGCGAAGCCCCATAGTCTGGTAACTTGTACTTGCTTACTCGAAGTTGTACGTAGCTAATTGTGGTGGGGATATCAAGCATGCCAAGCGGGTGCGCGGTGCCCTATCAGCTGGGTCGCTATGACATTTCCACACATGCAGCTCACTTTTGGACCTCCTCTTAGGCCAGTGATGACGTAAGCGATGCACCAGCATGACGCAAACCCAGAATGTGCGCACAGAACCCTCTGCCTTGTTCACTATTCACTATTCCACCCGCCCTCATCGCATCTTTCTTCCTGACCCCACCCCAAGGCCCTTTCCATATCATTTCTCTCAGCCGTAGAATGCAATCAAACGAGTCCTTCCGAGAGGCATGGCTTACTGACTGGTTGCAGGCAGGGAAAACAGAAATGGATCCCCATAGGAGCCCCTAAGAAGCTCCTGGAGTATTGTAGTTTCCATGGTCGTTTCCTTTTTTTTCTCTACTAACAACCAGCAAGTTCTGTCTTCAGTATACTCCCGTTTCCATTTCATACTGCGTTTTTTCCATCTAATTTTCCTTGCTTGGGGTAATACCTTAACAACCTGAAACTAAACTCTAAACCACTCAATCCAAATTGTAGCTTCAATTTCTTCGTCATGGATTCACGCACCCCTACTCTCAACCCGCAAGTAAAACCTTAAATTCAGAATCCCTACATATCCCTGTTTAACTTCTGGTTTCCATTCAGGTATCTACTTGTTGCTCCAAAAACGGGGAAAGACTCCCAAATTTAGATAGTAAACCCCCTATAAAGCAATTTGAAGGGCAACCCAAAACTCTCTATCATTAGCGTACTGAGGACCCAATACAGACCCCAACAGATACACATATTACAAATCTTTCATAGGGCCCCCCAAAAGGTACCCCCCAATTTTGGGAAACCCTAATTCCCATAAGCCACTCCGTACACCCAGTCTCCATTTCAGCTTCCTTTTTCTTTTGCATGTGATTCTCCATGTTGGGGGATTATATCCCTAAACCCCAAACCCTAGACGCTTGGTGGTTTCCATTTTCCATTGTCTCTACTAATTCTGGCAACCCCCCCATATCATCCCTAGTAAGCATATTCGCACCCATGACCAGGTCGCACTTCGGTGGCATTCTCGCGTTCTAACAGCCTGGCAAGGCTGTTTGTATGGAGTTAAGGTTCTAAGCTTTATAGGAGTTTAGCTAGTGTGTGGGGATTGGAGTTTAGCTAGAGTGTCGGGATTCAGGTGCAAGAGTCTTTTTGGCAGGATTCTTTGCTTTTTCCTAAGACTTTTCTTTTTGCCCTCTGGCCTCAAACTTATCAATCCCGCTCTCGGAGCCTACTACGCCGTGGCCAATTAAATCTGGCTGCGTTGGGCGACGGTACAAACACGCTTGGATGGATGAGCGTGGCTTGGAGATCATCCATTGATTCAGAGATCTAAAGCTGTTCCACAAAGCGATTCAAGCAAAGTGTGGGGCCTTTTCGTGATAAGGAATCCTGCGCAGTACCGCGTGTTTAGACGATGGCCAGTGCAGAGCCAGATAGGTATCCTTTCATTTTGTTGGTGGCTTCCCTCATCTCTCTCCCGTGCTGATTTGATAAGCCTGCCGCTCTGCACAAGCCTGACGGGTCTACCAGGATGGCAGCCAACGCCGTTTGCGTCGATTCCGAGAAGTCTAAGGCGACACCGCTGCTTGTGATATTGGGTCTGAGATTCAGTAATTCTGGGCAGGGGCAGATTGCAGGGCAATGTTGTTGGCTTTTCCTGCCAAGGGTGCTAGTTTCCATGGCACTCCACCTTAGCCCAAGTTCACAGCAGGCTGGGGCAAATTACTACGGATTCTGCGCTATTGTATTTTGCGCCAGAATGCTGTGCAGGAAGCTTGGACATTTTCCTCTTGTGTTTCCGGTGTATGCCATCGAACAAGACATGAACGATGGCCGACCGTACAGCCTTCCTAGGCTGTTCGCAAAGGAATCAAATGGGCAGTTATCTTGTTCGCTCACGGTCAAGGGATGCGCCCCAGAGAGAGGAATCATTCCTTTTTGATCTTTCCGGCTTCAGCTCGGAGAAGCTTAGCTCATGCTGTCATTGATGGACACTGCTGTAGGCATCTCAGCATCCTGGATCCTGAGGTCATGCGCTTGGGGTGATCATCTATTCATGATTCTCAGTTGTTTCATGCGCTGCTCAGCTCCGCCTCGGCCAAGATATCAGGTCTTCTCCGTTGGTGTCACTGGACAAAATTCACCCAAGATGGCTCCTCAAAATTCGCCTCGGTCTAATCTGCCAAGCTTGCGCGCGTCAAGCAGACTCGAACTAGGTGCAGCTTCAGACAGCTCATGGACATTGCCTGATGTTTCCCGACCCTGACATGTATATCATTGTATCTCCATTCTTATGTTTGGAGGTCTGAGCCTGTGACGCTCTATGATTCGGGCTTCATCCATTGCAAATCCTGCACACAAGTTTAACAGAATCACTTACCACAGCCAGCCCACACAACTTGACAACTGGACTCCTGGACTCCAGGGTCAGCGTTCGGCGAGCAGCTTTTAGAAGCTGGAGAACAGCTTAGCTGTTTACACAAACCTGTGCAATTGCCAATGGTGTCCTCCATCGTACATTGTACCTCTATTCCATTCCACAAACCTCTGCTCCTCTTCAGGCCCTTCGCAGTGGCCTAGAATCCAACCCAGGAATAGTTTTCTTTTGGAATGCCGAGAGTACAACCCTAAAGCTTAGCGAAGGCTTGGGATGAGGAAATGCCGCAGAGGCCCTGGTGCTTTTTTCGGCACATGCCCTATGACTTAGTGTATACGGATCTATGCTTGGAGAGTTGGGTCCTTTTTGCGGGGCTAGGGTTCTGGGGATGCACAGGGATTTTCGGAAAATGTCAAGATTTTTTGTGTTAGGCTTCCGAAGCCTTAAGTGCACAAGTCTCGAGGCTTTGGGGTGAATGGTTGAGAAAACTCTCAGACTCAACTGGGCCACTGTTCTGGAACTTAGTGTAAGTTACCAGAATATGGGTACATCGCAAGTATAATAGGGTTTTCTTATTCCAGTATTTTTAAAAAAGTTCCTTAACAGCACCCCAGTCAAACTATGCCGTCAGGGCTCAGGCAGAGTGTGCAGCATACTTCGCGGCAGGTGAAGATTTTGTGGTCAGGTGGAGGTCCATGGAAAATTATCACTGTTCTTATTATAATTATTGGTATTACCATTATAATTATTGGTATTACTATTACAATTATTGGTATTACTATTATAACTATTGGTATTACTATGGCTAGTATTACTTCTTGTTACCATTGTTACCATTATGAGCCACTTATAGTTGTAGTGCTTGCCCAATTGTAACCGTGTTCGGGACAGCTGGCTCATGGCAGTTTTTGTTGTCCAGAAATCCTACTAGGGAAAAGAAAGAATCATGAAGTTGCTTTAGGGGTCCTACTATGAGGGGGAAGGACCAATAATGAGGCTGAGGCGATGTTGGAAGACGGGACCCTCAGAAAGCAGCAAAGCAGAGCGTGCCAAGTCCCACACGACATGGGTTTGAGGAAACATTCCCTTGGAGGTTCTGTCTGCCCAGCCAAGATGCTGCCACCGCTCATTTCTTCATTTCCAGAGCGCAGGGTAGAATCAATACGTTCCGTTGACACCCACAGCCATAAGCCTTAAACTTCTACCCATGTGCAGGTGCGCACCGTCGTCGCTTCGCGTTCGTAACCAGTTCGGATCCCAGCACACGTTGGGCAGAAGCGATCTGGAGCCTCATCCTGCGATCTGTTGTTTTATGACCTTCCAGCCATGATTTATAAGCTGAGCTCTGGGCATTGGTAGTGCCGTTTGAACATGAGCACGGAGCACGCCAGCTCAATTGCATGAACCTGCACTTGACTATTACATGCAGCTTCACCAAGAAACCACTCTACTGCTTTACAGTTGCAGACTGCAGCCAGTTGCTGTTTCAGATTTTCTGTGTTTCAACAATGGTATTGCATTTACATTCCAAAGCGCAAATCGAACATTTGCACCAACAGTTGCAACCAGCTTCTGTCTCAGCCTTATCAAGTGTTTTTGAGATGCCTGCCTGGTTTGGAACTGGTGACCTTTGCTTAGCTGAGCACTGATTGTAGCAGCAAGTCAGGTTCCATACCTTGTGCCCAAGAACGGGAGGGTAAGCACCGACACGTAGAGTTTTTTTGCCCGTCCCGCGTCCATCTGCGCTCTCAGTCATGTTCCAGTGCTTGTGGCATTTCCTCCTTCGCACCTTTGGACATGGCCAGGCTTTGGGACCCAAAACATGTGTAGACAGTGAACCTCTAGACCTTCAACTGCGTCCTCAGAGATGTTGCTGCGGTTGCTGAAGGCTAGCGGTCCCAACGAGCGTCCCCATGTCCTTGCCTCAGCTGCAGCTGGGGGGGCGGATCTGTTTTGCAATCAAGGGTCAAGAAACATGGGCAAGCCATATGCGCACCCTGGAAAAAGGGAGAGCAGCCTCCCAGCATGCATTGTGATATGCTCACATGTATAGATGCTGAATCTAGCAGAGAGCTTATATTATTAGTGTATAGCAGTGATGTTGAAGCAGCATTTCTGTGGTGAAGGCTTTTGCCTTAGCTCTGGCAACAGTCCTTTTTCAGAGATTTGCCGCCAAGAGACATTTATCATTGTAGTTTTTGTTGTTTTTGGTACTGTGGCAGTGTTTCAATCTCTCAGTTTTCGTGCCAGATATCTGTGAGCCCCAAATCGTTTTCCAGTAGGTCTAGTTATGGCTCAGCGGGGTTCAGAGACAGGCTTGGTCAGCCTGAGCCGCTCTGTGACTACAGCTGCTCAACAGGGTTACGGCTGCCTTGAAACATGCCATGCGTGAGCGCAGGACTGAGAAGTCGAGAGGTTTTGAGAACGTGTTGCCAAACGTTTTTGGGAGTGGTAGCAATTTTTACTGCTTCGGCGGCAGGCTGTTTCTATCACGAGTTTCACCGTGATCCACTTAGCAGCGATGGTCAGAAAACCACATGGAGACATTCTCAGGGTCGGTACTGAAACCTGTGTTTGGTAGGCAATGCAGTCGTACATCCTTGGTGGCATTTGCACCACAGTTTCCTCCGTAGTTCCTTGTGATGGTGTCCAGCAGACCCGAGTTCCAAGGTATGCTCTGACCCCGACGCATTCATCAGGCACAACAAGTGTTTGCAAGCCATGCGAAATGAAGTGGAGGGACTAAGGTTCCGAGCTTGTGGAGGAAGGGGTTCTTCTTAGCGCTGGTGTCAGGGTACTCAGGCTTGATGAAATTCACGACTGACAGGTTCATGGTAGCATCAAGTCGGCGAAGCAACACCGCAGATAGGGTCGTCCTGCTTGTTGCCCTGCTTTGAACCCACTTCGTAACGGCATGTTATGGTTCTTCATGATCCTGAAATTAGCTGCCACGTTATAGGGTGCCCCATCTGAGATCCCGTGATGTGACAGTGCTCGATTAACTGGAGGCGATCATCTTGCTGAGTAGTTGAGAAAATTGCCTTGAGACTCGTGAGACAAGATTTCCTGCGATATTCTTCCACGCTTTCTGGGTCGGTGTACCGCGCGGCAAACAAAGCTAGGGACTATGTACATTCACTTAAGCAAGGCGACCCTTTTCAGAATATACATGGTTTTGCTAGGGGATTAGTGTGCCCAGACAGTACACTGAAGCTAGAAGCCAAATCCCACTCCAACCTACGACCCTTACGCGAAAGGAGACCTGCTGGCTGGAAAAGTCCAGCCCTTGGAGCTTCTGGCTTTGAAGTCTCAAGTCTCTACGATTATTGCTAAGACGCTGCCAGGGTTTGCTCAAAGTTGTGTGCTTGAGAGTTTGGGGGGGCAAGGGGCATGTAGCAGCTGCCGCGTGAAAAGCTCGTGCGTTTCAGCTTTAGACTGCTTCCGTCCCTGTTGAAGCGGGCCTGTGCCAAAAGTGTGTTCTCTTCAAACTTCAAAGGGTCCATGTATAGGGCATTCTTTATGCTTTGCTAGGTACAAATTTGTTCGTCGTGCAGACATGCCGGTAACATTCCCAAAGAAACCTCACAGAGGGAGCCCTATGTATATCTTAACCCCAACGCGACAGCCACAGAACTCTCATAAACAAGGTGGTTCCAAAAGCATCGGGTTTGTGTGCTTTTAAATGATTCAAGCCCTTGCATGTCATCCTGGGCAGCCTCATCCACTTCTGAATCTGGAGCCTCAACCTACCCCTGCATTAATAGTGGGTCAATTTCCATGGTTCTTGCCAAGATAATTTGCATCTAGCCTGAGTTACATGGGCAAGCTTTCAAGTAACAGCTGAGACGAAGATAACCTAGGAAACCTCAACCTTGTAAGCCCTTAAGCCTAACGCGTGGGTCCTTCTAGTAAAAATACAAGTACTAATTAAAGTAACAACAGCAATATTAACAACAAAATAATAACAACAGTAATACTATTCATGAGAGTAATAATCATAATAACAATATTAAGAGTATATAACCCCTACAATTACAGTAGTTTCCATTTCGTTTTCCATTATCCCAAGATAACCCTAATATTACTTGACCGGGTTTCCTACTTCCACTTGCCAGGATGGGAACCTTTCGCGTCAGGTGAGCTCCAGCACCCGTGACGAGGCCCACTTTCTCCAAGCTGAAGGTGTCAGCCTTCGACGTATGTATGTGTACAGGACCTGCTCAGGTAGTGTTATTTAGGGATAATGGAAAAGAACATGGAAACTACAGGGATTATAGGGATTATGAAGGGTTATATGGGGATCACAGGATATATATTGGGTTTTTGTAGGGATAATGGAACAGAAAATGAAAACTACAGGGATTATAGGGGTCATATAGGGGTAGTGTTAGAGGACTCCATGTCTATTTCTATGTTTCATGCAGTTTGTGGGGCGCTTGAGGGGCGCGTCTTTCGTTTTGGAGGGAGCTGTACAGGCTCTGGGGGGATCCGGTCGATAGCAACCTTCCATGAATGGCTTTTGAATTGAAAGATTCAGCGGTGACTCCCACCTGTTGAGTGATAGGATGGTCTGCAGGTCAGTGCCGTCCCCAACTGTGTTGTAGGAGTTTAGAACGCAATCTTTTCCCGTTGTGGCCAGTTCTTGATAGCACGTTGATCCAGAGCCATCCTTCCAAGGGTTTCCGATTTCATCAGCTTTCTAACAATGTCAGCATGCCACTCCGGCTCCCCCAAGCCAGCACCCTCCCAAGAAGTGACATGATGAGATGTGGCGCACTCATACAGTATTACAGCAATCAGTGAGATGCTAAAATTTCCAGGGCTACGGGTACTTCAAGAGTCCATCAATCAACCAGATGAACCGGACCTCAACTCAGCACAGGGTCACTTGAACGAAATTCTCCATGTCGAGGTTTCCAAAACCTGGAGGTCCCGCTTTTGAGCTTCTGTACGGAATCCCGACAGTTTGATTCGTGTTTGTTTGGAAGTTAGTGTTGGTGCCTCTTCCTTGCTCTGCTCAGACTCCTCCAAAAGCCAAGCCGGTCGTTCCGCGCTTGCAGCTCAATCAGGCATGGTCTGGTGCTTGATATTGGGCCCAATATGACCCGGTTATATTGGGAGAATGGAAAAGAAAATGGAAACTACTATTCAGGATATTTAGGGTATTTAGGGTTTAGGGCCTATATGGGGATAATGGAAAGAAAATGGAAACTACTGTAATGGGGTTATAGGGCTTATATAGGGTTCTATAGGTGCTATATAAGGATAATTGAAAAGAAAATGGAAGCTACGATTTAGCGTTCTCTTTATCTGGAGATTTATGAATTTATTGGTCCGTTTACTTTATAATCGTAGCAGGTCGTTAACGCTACTGGACATAGCGGATCGGTTCTAATTTCATCGGGAAGAAGGAAGTCTGGAAATTACGACCAACTTCTAGTTTGATTCGGATTTTCTTTATATTTGGATTCAGTAGGAATGTATCGGCGTAGATAAGATGAGATTATTCACTTACATATTGGATGTTTTGGAAAATAGTAGAAATATTTCGATTCTTTTATTGAAACATTTTGTATACTTTGCAAAGCCCGGTCCATATCAGGCGCGTTTTGAAATGTTCAGAATTGGGGTGGAGACAGAGATTGAGGTTGGGGTGTTAGTGTTGGTCAAGGATTTGGGGCTAGGACGTTCCAGGGTTGAGAAATGCACGGATCAGCTCAGGAGCCAGCATTAAACTGGCAATGGAGGGCATGCAAGGCAAACTTGAAGCTAGAAATCTTATCCCGATTTAATCCCTATGAAAGCCCTAGAAAATCTCATAAGATCCTTAAATAATCCCCCTATGTAGTTCCTATATAGCCCCCTTGAGTATGTGTTTGACAGGGGGCTCAAGGACTTCTCTTGTTGGATTTCGGCCTCTGTCCGTGGCTAGTGTTGCTGACCTCATCTGGGATGTACGCAGCAGCATTCCGCTTCGTAAAGCTATCCATACGAGTCCTTACTATCATTGCTGCCCTTAGAGTCAGGGTTGTATTTTTTGTTTCGCAGATGTGCTGGTACTACTGCTACTGTGGATGAAGGAACGAAATCTTGAACCACTCTGTATATCTCACGCCCTAGGAATTACCGTACCTAAGTGGAGCAAGATTTCCTGTATCCAAAGTCGTTCTACTGATTACAAGTACTACTGCAGAAGAGATGCGAATTTCCCCGGACCTGAAACACGTTGACAGGTGATGCGTGCCCAGAGCTGCCCCATCACTCCGAAGAAAGAAGATCTGAAGGACTGACGTGGGGTGTCAGTCATGCCTTAGTCGGGACTTCCCTAAAATTCATTTCAACAACGGGTCCTTGTTTGTGATGGTTGCCATTACAATTCGGGCCCCTATTCAAAAGCTCCCCTCATTTAAGGAACCATGATTTAGGGCAAGTCCCGTCTGTCCGGGTTAGGGCTTCTGTACTTCACTTGATGAAGGCCAGTGGAGTTTCTATCACAGAGCCTTTCGAAAAGGTTCTTTGGGTTTGGTCACTGGTGTTGGTTCCCGTCCTGGCTTGCGTCTTTTTCCTGGCCCTTGACAAGGGGCCCACATGAATGGGATTTTCCTGCGTGCTGCCAATACGCCCCACATATAGAATCTTCCCACCGAGGTTTAAAATCAGCCAACAGGGGAAATTGAACGTCAGGGTAAGGGTGCTAAAGGTTAACATATGTAAATACCAATACACTATAATACAATGTGTTATAATATGATATGATATAACGTATCATGCAAAAACGCGCTGGTCGCTGCACCTGAATGCCAAGCGAGCTATGGTCTAAACTCCTGCAGGGGAGTTATTTAGGGGATTGTATGACCCCCTTTATTTAGGGTTTAGGTTTCGGGATAATTTAGCGCATTATTTGGGGCAGTATTATAGGGGTTCTTACGAGTGCTACTACTACTACTAGTAGTTTCGACTATTGCTCATATCAGGGTATACTATACTTCCCGTAACCCCTTTAAAGGGATAAGAAGGGATTCATAGGATTGTATACTGGTTGTTGGGATAGCTCAAGTGCTTATGGCCAGCCATCTTAAAAGCCCCAAGCGCCGACCCTTAAAGCATTAGGGTTTAGGGTTTAGGGTTTAGGGTTTAGGGGTTTAGGGTTTAGGGTTTAGGAGGATAATTATGTGGTAGTTTGCCTAAACAGGGGGACCCCAATGTAGACCCCCAAATACTATTGTCCTTTACTGTAGAGACCCCCCAAACAGGTACCCCTAATTTTGGGAAACCCCCATATATCATAGGAATAGCATTATGCAGTATTGTAAAATAAGTACATATTGTAGTATATATTTGTACTTATTTTGATACAGCCCAGTATATTAGGATATATAGAATATGGGAATGTAGTATAGTACACGATACAATACTGTAGTACAGTATCATACATTAAGATATATACTGTAGCCTGAGTCCATCGACTGTTCCACAGTTTCACAAACCAGCAGATTTGCGGCTCAGTTTGATAAATAGCAATATGAGGCTTCCGCTGAGCAGTTCAATAATATCCCTCAACAAATCCTGGATCATACCTTCTGTATACCCGTTACATAACCCTATACAACCCCTATAGTAGTTTCCATTTTCTTATCCATTATCCCAACCTAACCCCAATATAATCCCACACCATAGCCCCAACGCCTTGACCATTATGGTAGCACGTGTGCCGTTGAAGAGACGCTAAACCTGCTCTGACCCGAGCTAAGTCACCGAGTTGGATAGGAATAGTAAGAATCTGTTGCCGGTAAAAGTAGCAATCCTTCCCTAGCCCCAATGCTGAACATGAGGCTGGGAACGTAAACCCGCAAGCCCCAAACTTTTTTCTGTTGAGCCCCCCAGCCCTATACATCCCCTAAAAGCTAGATTCAGGATGTCGCAAGTTTTGTATCTGATCCTTGAGGAGCCGCCCCAGCGACTTGCTCGCCGCAACTCCTCTCCACAGGCTGGGAGGAAGTGTGAGTTTCAGTAGGTATGGAGTTTCCAACAATTTCAGGGAATTTTCCCGGAGTCCAAAAACCAGCTCCCTGGTATGTTTGTCCCCGACCCGGTGAATTGCCCATGCAATCCCTTCCCCTAATAGTAAACGGCTCCACCCGCCCTTTTAATGGAAATACTCGGAACAGTATTTAATATTAGGGGGTGTCTTCATCGTGCGACCCGAACCTTTCGGGGGGGTAAATAGAAATCTGCTTAAACTCGCATAAGATTCAATTAAATATCATTAATAAGGGATTTGGGGCCTTATTAGGGACTAGTTCCAATTTGGGCCTTAATAGGGACTATTCCAAATTAGGGCCTTGGAATCTGTGTCTGGAATATTTTCTATATACATTCCTTTTCAAAAACCATCCAAAAACAACCAACATGTCGTGCCAAACCCTCCCGAATTCAGAGGATCCGAGCCACAATTTACTTTAGTCTTGGCCCTTTTAACAATAGTCTTGTGGGCAGATTTCAGGAGTTGGAATTTTGGCGAACCCGTATTTGATATTAGGGGGGGGTTGATATTAGGGGGAAGCGACTAGTTGAGGAGGTTCTTATGCTGTCTGCCGGCTTCCAAGGGCAGTTTTCTTTTGGGTTGGTAATACAATGGATCATTGGAGTTTAGGCTGACAGCATAGGAGAAGGTGCCTTGAAGTCAAAACCAGATGTGCCACCGTGTCCTGAATCTGTGATGAAGCTGCAGTTCACGCCGCGCGAGCAAGAGGCTTCTGAGAGCTGTGGGTCCCTATTTGAGGTCCTCGTATATGAACTGGTTAGCCAGAAGAAAGAAATATTCACGCCATTCTTCGAAGACTCGAATCTTACTTACATCTTACAGGCACCTGCGTATCTACATGTTTTACCTACATATTGCAGCATATACCCGATGATAGTAGTTTCTATCTTCTGTTCCGTTATCCCCTATATAACCGTATATAATACAATATATCAGATTCCGTTTTCTTTTCCATCATCCCTATACAACCCCAATGTATACCCTATAATCCCTACATAACCCCTATAATCCCTCTAGTTTCCATTTTCTTTTCCATTATCCCTATATCAGCCCAATATACAGCTAAACCCTAAACCCTAAACAAGAACCCATCATAGTAGTTTCCATTCTCTTTTCCATTATCCCTATATAAACCCTATATAAGCCATTATAGTAGTTTCCATTTCTTTTTCCATTATCCCTATAAAGCAACACCTAAGCAGGCGGCGGAGCAGCACTTCTCGCCCCGCGATCCTGAAAGCTTTGCCTCGAAGGCTGCGTTTCCCTGGGACCTAAACCCTGAGACCTCAGAAATTACACTTACTGTGGGCCCCAAAGTGTACAAATATTACCTACATTGGGCTATCCTTTCTGATGGGTCGCTTTGGTTGATTGTGGCCTTGATTGTTGTTCAATCGTTTTGTTCTGGATGGCTTATGGTGTGCTTCCAAACTGGGCCAGGATAAAAATAAAAGTTTGTGGTTTGGCTTGGTTTCATATCAGAGGGCAACACACACACACACACACCCTAAATCCCAAACCATAACTAAGCGCTGAATAAACCCGTAAACCCCAAAACCCTGAATCCTGGAGGTGAGCCAAACTGTTTTTTTCTAACGCTCTGCTGTCTAAGCTTTACACTTTTTCAAGTGTTGCTCGTGGTTCGGGATGCGAGCTTTCAAGACTTCGGTTGAGGTGTGTAGGGGTCTAGTGCGGAGGATGAGGACAGGATGTTGTCGGGGACACTTGGCGCTAGATAAAGATGTCTTGTCAAGCATGTCATGAAAAGTTAGACATCACGGGGTGGTTCAGCGTAGGGCTGCGGAACTACTGATGGCTTGCATTATCTCCTTGCGAGTCACGAGAGCATTGACGTGTCAGGCTTTGTGTTTCACTGAGGGCTGTTTGCAGACATTCTGAGCTACACCTGCGTCCTCCTATTGTGCAGTCCCTAGCAGGTCTTTCTTGGGGTTCACAACAACTAGATCTCTTCCTGACCTCCGCCCTTCTTGAGGTTAAGGACTGAGGTCTTGGCTTGGCTGTGGGTCGTCTCATGCCAGCTAGGCTGCTGTTGGCAGGACTTCAGCATGAAGCTCCAGCGCCTATCCAAGTCGATATTCTCAGTTAAAGCTATGAGGCTACGAGGCCTGAAGATCTTCAAAAGTTAGGTCCTGTAAGCAGATCTATGCTATGGAAAATCGGAATTGAAATACCCTCAAACTTTGGTAGCAGCACCTTTCCGCGGTCTGAAACATTCCTTTTGACAGTCGCGTGAGCGGCAAAGGTGACTGCCAGGATCAGCTAAGGCTAAGCGAAAGCCTCACACAGGCACTTAGCATGAAGAAGGAAATCCGCCCATTCCCATCCACGGTGCCAGTATTCTCAAGAGGCCTATTGGCCGCTTGCACCCCCTCCTGTGTAGCCCCGTCCGAAAAAATACCCTTTTTTCAAACTTAACACGGAATCCACATCTTGGGATTCCATTTAGGCTTGGAGGATGGGTAGCCCAGTGTAGCCCAAGATCTTTTCAACAAGATACTGCCTTCGGCTTGAGCAGGTCCTTATTGGACTCGGCCTCACACCAGCCAAGGCGAGGACGCAGTTGGTCGATTACTGTATTGGAATATGAACCTAAGCCCTTCGTCAAATCAAGCATATCATATGATAGAACAGAACGCGAGGGCTGCCGTTTTGTGGATTGCTTGCTAGGATCCTTGTTTGACTTCTGTCTTGTTTGGCTTCTGCCTTTGTAAAGCTTCTCTCTTTAGGGTGGTGGGGACAGCTCGGCCTCTCAACCGATGACCGCCATTGTTATCACCATGTTGTGTTCTTGAGGCTGAAGTTGCCGTCAACGCCGCCTTCTATTCTTTCCATCACGCCCGCAATCACCGCCGTCATCATTGTTACTATAATGCCTGCCGTCTAAACGCTCATCACAATCATGACAACGCCGGCCCCGACCACCACCGAGGCTAGGACGGCGGCGTCGACAACAGTGGTAGCTGCTGCAGCGTCTGCTCCTCCTCCACTAGTACTAGTAGTACTAGTACAAGTAGTACTAGTACTAGTACCACCACTACTACCGCAACCGCTACCACCATTTCATCCGTATCCCTCTGTCAGGCCTCAGTGCAGGCGACTACCCGTGTGCAGGCGATCATGTCCAGGCCAGCAACTTGAAATACGGGACGGTTCAGCATGCGAACTGAAATACTGTGTTGCTAGCTTTAGTCGGTGCATTTCGAGTTTTGCAATGAGTGCCTCCCATCTTGCTGTGTCTTCGCTGTACGGTCCACTGAAGATACCCTAGTGGTCTCCTGAGTTTTCGTTGTTTGAGCCACTTTTGATGAGCTTGTGAGGAACTCTGGTCGCGGAAGGAGCTTCTAAGCCTTCAGTGGAGTAGCTGTGCTAGTGTTGCAACCACAACGCAGATCCTAAAACCTAATTACGCCCTAAACACACACGCACACACACACACACACCCGGCCCTTTTAATGGTGAGGAAACCCCTCTGAAGCAAGCAAGTTTTTGGTGGTTAGCAATGCCGTCGGAACACTTAAGACCATGAGCCTCGCACGCAGCAAAGGCAGACCTTCTAAGGTTTAAGCCTTCAACCCGGCCAAGTTGTGAAATGAAGACCCCGAGCCCGAAGCTCCCGCATGCTGAGCCCTACAGCCTTATGCATGCTATTTCATTTTATTATATCATATCATATTATCGTATATCACATTATAGTATAGTGTATATACATATGTGACGACATATGTATGCTTACTTCCCAGCAGAGGTGGCAACACAACCAAAGCCTGGCTTCAAGCCGTACCTGACGTCCATGCGAACCCGCTTCCCACAGCCTTGGGGATTCTAAACTTCCTTAGTGTTCAGGGTTTAGGGTTTAGCAGGGAATATATTGGGGTATGATGGGGATAACGGAGAAGTAAATGGAAACAAACGTATTCTGATGGGATATATGATGGGGTTAGTAGGGAATAAGGGAAAATAATCCCACATAATGGCATTATATCATGTTCCCTTATTCGCTACTCCCCCCCCTCAGTCAGTAAAACCGTCCTGAATGAAGAGGCAAGGTCTGGGAATTCATCTTCCTGTGAAGATGTTTGGGACTCTTCCTGGCTTATTGTCAGGTTCGAGTCCAAGAAGAAGGAGCAAGGCACGGTGACCGACGTGGCAGGGGTTTTGGGGTGGGGCTATCTTACGTCCTAGTTGGGAACTTAACAGGGCCCAGTTTAGATTTAGAGGCGGCCCACAGTGTTCATGAAGAGCTTAGTGTCATTGGATTTGGGCATTCTGTTCCAGCCTAGAAGCCCCCAAATTGGAGGTTTCATGAACGACCTCGACTTTTAACACTTGGCTATGTGGTTTTGAGACTTGAAGGAACTACCCATTGAGTAGATTAGATGTGGAAGGTGCGGAGACTCAGGTCAGAGCGGGAAAGGCCTTCACAGTCATGTCGAGGTTTTCGAGCGTCTGAAGATGTCTGGATAAGCTTCTGACGCAAGGCCAGTCAGAACAAGTCTGGGATCACAGCGGAATTCTTCACAGCCAGAGCCAGAATCCGCAAGATCTGCTTCAAGCCTCCGACGCTTGAGTTCCGTTGTCTTTATATCCTGGCTTTGGAGACTGAATTGGATTGTCTGAAGATCTAGCGTTTATGTGAGATTAAATGATAAAGCCAGGACCGGATAAGGATTTCATTTGTTTCGCATCCTCATCCTGCTTCTCTTCTGCTGTTGTATCCCCGAAATGCGGGCACTTTCTCATACCTCCAAAACATAGGACCTCACAAATGGAACCTGGATCGTACGGACGCTCGATTTGAATCCATCTGAGCCCTTGGATTGGACAAGTGCTATTTTATTAGCCAATCCCACTCTCTCTCTCTCTATTTATGCCATCCCTGTGCTCGAGGCCCCTGCATCTCTGAGATTGTCACCTTGAACAGCTTTCAAAACTGGGGTTTCATCCCAAGCCCGAACTCCCTCTAGTGGGAGATATAACCAGAATCCCTACAAGGGACTCCTATGATTGCTGTCTGATGATCAAAAGCCCTACACTTTCCTAGAGGCCTCCTGCGTGACAAAAACCTAAATCAGGAGGCTCCGACTCTGCTTCCTCCTCTTCGTCGCCCACCGACGCTGCGAGCTCAAGTCGCGCGTAATATGGCGTTCACGGCAAAAATGCTGAGTTTACTTTAATCTTGTGATGTTTGATTCTGTTGAATTTTTAGTTCCCTAATCAGTGTGGTTGTGAAGGTTTCCGGAGGACGCATAAGCAACGTTTCCTAGCGTGATCGCGTACGCCTCGCGCTTTACCTTGAAGGCAAAGACGAGAATCTTACCGGTGGTTAGAATGAGGGAATATATTCTATAGGGATTATACTACTATTCCCTACTCACCAGTAAGGATTTTTTGCCATCATTCCATTTTGTTGCCGCGCAGAATTTTCTTTCGGATCCCAGTGCAGGCGGAGCATCGCAAGGAGAAGGGAGCATGCGGATGATTCTCAAGACAACCAGCAGACTGTATCTTTGTTGATGACATATAATGATAGTAACTTTCTGATAGTAATAATAGCAATAATGCATAAGAATGGTAATAGTATAATAATCAATAGTGTATAATCATAGTAAGAATGATGTACGTTTTTTCTTCTCGTCGTAATAGTATGGACTCGCAGGCCGGTCAGATGACAGCAAGGACCGTTGCTGTCATCTGACCTAGCTTGATTAAAGGATTTTGATTTAGGGGTTCAGGGCTTAGGGTTGTATGTATACAAAGCCTTTTGCTGTACTTGTCCCCAGAGGTAAGTTGCCAGTGTTGTTATAAGCTATTGGCGCTCCTGGCCCGGATACATCCCTGGGGCGTCACAGTCCAGGAATCCAATACCCAGCCGGAGCCCCCAAGCCGGCAGACGTCACGTATTTCGGGTCATGTGGATCCCTATTTTCTTTAATCTGTGGTAAGACTGTTTCTCATCTTTACTTGTGCAAATCGGAACCTAAGAATTCACTTCTTTGTGGTTAACAGGGAACGGAGGCATGGATCCACGCAGCAGCCTCTGTATGATCGGCAGCAGAAATCCTCATATTCCATGCGTTTTCTCCCAACTAATCACCGCACACCCTAAGTCTTAAACCCAAAGCCGTAATCTCTGGATAGTATGGCAGTTTCCATGTTCTTAAGATTCGTTCATTCCCTGCCAGCCTCTGGGGTGTGCCATAGCCTGAGGCGGCGACCGCTTGAGCTAGTCGTGCGCTCGAATGGCTAGTTTCTACTGATGAGTTTGGGGGGTGTGCATGTTAGGAGCAAGGGGGTTTTCAAGGTTCTGTAGGGACTTTGGAGTTAGGGTATATAGCTTTTTTCTTCTCCGCATGCTCTCAGCTTGATTAATTACGTGAGGGTCCAAACGAGATCCGGATCAGAAAAGGATGTGCAGTTGCCCCAAAACTACAGTCCACCCTGGGAGACCAGACTATGTGTTTGGCATAGAGCAGGATCCAACTTTGTGAGAACTGCAATTTTTGCTTGGGAAGCCCGCAATATTCTTTTGCAGCAAGTCCATTATGTTTGTGGCCCAGTTAGCTAGAGCTTTCACGTAGCAACAGTGGGCCTGCTGGTTGAGTAGTTCCCCCTGGTTACTCGTACCTTTTGCAACTTGCCAAGCATAAGAACTGGACTCCTCCTTTTCAGAGTTGAAAGCGCCATGTCGCTATGTTCTTGCCATTTCTTGCCAGATCACGCGGGATTGTATCCTTTGCGAGGAGGTATCGAAGTTGGGGCCCATGTTCAGACACTTTGAGTAATGGAGCCCCCTCGGCCCCGAAAGCAGACCGTGACTTCGAGAAGCATAGGCATCGTGCTGTGACCCAACAGCAATCGGGAGATGTTGAATTCCAACGTCTTCAATGGGAAGGGGAGGTTCCCTTATTCTCGGCTTGTCCTAGAGCCATGCAGGTTCTTGCTTATCCCCGGGATGTTTCATGGAAGAAGCCTGAACATGAACTGTTTTTTTGGCCTCGAAGCTTAGCCTCATGAATTGCCAAGCACTTCTTACTCAAAGCCTAGTACGAATGAATACGCATGCATGGGTCGAATGATCCAGGCAAGATCTAAACCTAATATCAGTATTACTACCTTTATTTTTCTATGATTACTATTTGTAATTTCTTTTATTATTTCTATTACTATTACTATTATTAGTATTACCACTTCTACTGTTTGTCCTATTTCTACTATTCTTATTTTATTTCTATTATTACTACTCCGCAAGATCTAAACCCCTCTGAGGCAGGCGCGCTCCGGCGGCATGCGTTCGGGAGCGCTACTTGCAATCTGCGCTATGCTTCTTGACTGACAACATGGAGGGCAGACACGCTTTGCACATGGGTTCTATAGTCTAAACTCCTTAAAAGGGGGTGAATTATATTGGGGATTATATAGGGGTATTATGAGGTTTATAAAGGGGGATACTAGGAGTTTAGACTAATTATAGCTCACCTGGGTTCTATAGGGATACATCATGTGATGAGTGGTTTCGGGTCTGTACTTAGAGGATTTTGCTGACCCCAATTTTTGTAATGGAGAACATGACATTGAAATTGGTGCTGCCTGCGGCTGGGACGTTGGTAAACCCCAACCCCTCGAATAAGGGCCCTGCAAAAAGCCATTTGATATTCAAAGTGTCCTCATTTTAGGGTTGGGTGCAACCAAAATCTTGTAAACCCTAGACCCTGAACCCTAAATTCTTTACCGCCTGGCTGAAAAAGGAGCGCTTTAACAAAAAAAGAAGAACCCTAAATTCCTTTGTTTTTGATTCACGGATGGGCCGCATGGTGGTTCTGTGCTTGGGGCCCCGACCTGCCAGTTCATCCCCAAAATCTTAATACAAAGCCCACCCCCTTAAGATTATATATAAATATTCCAAGTATATTATCGTTTGCGACAAAGGGGAATATTAAATATTAGGGTGGGGGGAGAGGGTCTAACATTAGGGGAGGTTACCAATCCAAGCCAAAGCCTCTAATTTCGATCTCCACAAGAACTCATGCAGGCCACTTGGCGGAAACTATTCCAGCTCTGATACTCAGTCCTGTAGTGCTGTGAACCTTTGTACTGGCCATGAGCAACGTTCTCAGAATTAGCCTTCTGAAGTTTCAACTTCAAACATTTTCCAACCATGATCTGGGAAAGGTCGGGTAAGGCAAAGTGACTCACAGCGCATATGTTTGATCTAGCCCCGCTATCGTTCAGCAGCCGTAATCTCCCTGCAAAACAACAAAATCCATGGCTTAACCGTTGTTACATCAATGTCTTGAGAGCGTAGAAGTGCCTCAAATGCAGGGTGTAAAGTTGCTGGAAAGATGTGCTGTATACGAAGGTAGACCGAAATCCAGGAATTCCGTTGGCTGGGACTTTAAGGCGGAGTAGGGTGTGGCGATCGTTGTTCATAGTTTTTTGCCAGCAAATGTTTTAATGCATTCTGCAGGGGCTTTGCGTAGGCTTTTGTTGTAAGGCTCAAGCATGGATTGCAACAGCGTGGCCCAATCTCAAACCTTAGAGCAAGGGGACCTCCTTCCGTGTTTAGAAGCCCTACCTCAACCTCTTGAGAGCCTATTCCTCATTCCTCCCAAGCCCTAGCCTATATTCCGAAGCCTCATCTCTAAGGTATAGCCCGGATACTCGCTGCCCGTGGGGCCTGTGACGCTTCTTTAGTAAAGGGTAGCACCCGATACCTTTGTGAGCCAGTTCCTAGGGGTTGACATTGGCAGTCGCTGCTTACTACTGCTTGGGGTGGCTGCCTTGGGGCACCCCCCTGCCTTTCCAGGCATTAATTGGGGGCATATGCATGAATAGCGAGGCATGTACTTGTTTGGAACTATAAGTTACGCTGCGGGCATGGGAGTTCGATCTTCATGGGAGCAGCTAGCATAGAAACGCTGGTACTTTGCAAAGAATTTGAATACTCGTGCACTCCCACAGCCTGCATGGAATGGTGGCGTCGCCTCAGATGTCTCTAACCCCTGGGTTCGTTTCAGAACTTCTTGCATGGGATTTTCTCCTGACTCCTCGAGACTTTCCTCGAGAGACGGTTTCGCGGACAAAATGGCTGCAACTTCAAACCCAGAACCTGCAAGTCCAAACCCCGAAGCTCAAAGCCCGTACAGCGTGCACGGTGCATGCCAAAACAAGTTCCCACCGTGGCAATGACTTGAGTCGTTTGCTGCTGGAGAGCTTTTTCTCAGGTACCCGAGATAGAATTTGCGGGAAGGGAGCCAAAGGGCATGTCGCAGCTTCATACAGCTTCATTACATCGTGCAAGGACCTAAGGACCAATTGTGAGTAGTTATGGTGCTGAATGAGTTCTCCTATCACATTCACGCACCCTGACACACGGCCCATGAAGCACGTTCGCAGCAGCCAACAAACATCACTACCACAGCAAATGTGCAATGATGCATCATGGTGCTGTAGTCGATGTGCTGCCATGAAATGCGTCTGCGTCTGTTCTCAGTCTCATTTCGATGCATCGTAGGATTGTGAGGGCAACAACAGTTGCTGGCATTTAATTGCACTTCTGTACCACAAGTTTGCAGTAAGCCCCAGGTTGTAAGCCAAAGATCATATAGAACATGATTGCTGACGGGCCTGCACAAATTTGGATGCGCTCCTCCAAAACAACCCAACATCAGATTTTCATTCTGAGACACACCCCACATGAAAAGGCTCAACACTGAAATGGTACCCGCCACCAATGCGGAAAGGGCCAGTAGGGGCATTGCTGACTGACTTGCAGCCGTCTTGCCGCTCAAAAGTTGCCTGGGCGACTCCTTGAAAAACAAAAGGATTGTGACACTTACTTACAGGTACTATAGGAGCCTCGCAAATGGTGAATGTTAATCCTTCAATATGATAGTTCAAAAGCCAATTTACGTTTCTCACCTAAGGCCATAAACCTCAGACCGTCCAGACGCCTACGGGATTCTCGAGTAGTGGCACTAAAGCTCGCCTGCAGAACATGGGCGTGGCCCTGACAACCTTCAGCCGAAAGCCTCGCAACCCCATACACTCCACCTCAACTCGTAAGTTCCTCAACGCACGCCAGCTGTGAACCTTCCAAATCTCGACATAACAACCTCTCAACCTTCAAAGCCTCAAACTCTGAGCCACTAAGCGTTAACTTGCACCAGTCTAAGTGCAGATCATGGCGCTAACTCCACAGTCCTGCCGCGAAGGCAATGCACGGTGGATCCTCACGCAGTTTAGGGTTTCAGATTTCGGTTGGGTCGGGGGTCTGAACAGGTTCAGGGGTGGCAAAAGCAGGGCACGGGTGGAAAGGAAACAGGGTGGGGGTTTAAAAAGCATGTTGCCCGAAGGCTTTGGACATCCTGCATCGGCCAGCTGAACCCCACACCCTGACATCCTCCTCCGAAACATCTTGATCCAAACCTTGAACCGTAAAAGCTGTGTGGAAACTTCGCGCCGCAAAAAAGGAAGAGATCAGGGCCTCCTCATTTGTGGCGGGGCAGTGATGGACCATGTCGTCCGAGGCCCAAAGTGTACTCTGGCCCCTCCTCAGGAAAGTTCTTGTGTGGGGACATTTTGGGCTCCTCCTCATGCTCCTCATGCGCCAATACCCCTCAATCACACTGGTTACATGGAGATGCCAGTGCCGGTAGCAGTGGCATACATGGTTGTCGCTTCGCTTGCCCCCACAGCCACCGTCCCCGCCCCCGACCGCACCGCCACAGCCACCGCCACCGCCACCGCCACCGCCACCGATGCCACTGATGCCACCGCCACCGCCACCGCCGCCGCCACCACGACCACGACAACACCACGACAACACCGCGACCACGATGACTATTACTGCTGGTGCTGCCGAAGCTCTTCTAGTAGTAGTAGTAGTAGTAGTAGCAGCAGCAGCAGCAGCAGCCAACGGCTTGTAAACCGTACCCCATTTCTGACGTTCGTGTTCCCAGAGCATACGACAACTAGCGCACCCATGCCCAAACCATAATAACGTTTGTGTTCCCAGAGCATACGGTGACCAGAGCACCCATGCCTTAACCATAATAACGTTCGTGCTCCCAGAGCATACGATAACTAGCGCACCCATGCCCAAACCATAATAACACTATTAGAGGGGTCGGTTTTGACGCCGCCGGGTAGTAGTAGTAGTAGTAGTAGTAGTAGCCGTCGTAGTAGTAGTAGTAGTAGTCGTCGTAGTAGTAGTAGTAGTAGTAGAAGTCGTAGTAGTAGCAGTAGTAGTAGTAGGAGGAGTAGTAGTAGTAGTACCTACTACTACTACTACTACTACTACTACTGCCACCTACCCAGCTCCTCCTACTGCTCCTGCTCATGCTGCTGCTGTTGCTGTCACTGCTGCTGCTATGGCTAGGGCTAAGGCTGTGGCCACGGCTGCTACTGCAAGTACCGTTCTTACTGCCAATGCGGGTACTGCTGCAATGACCACGGCTATTACGACAACCCTGTGACGACGTATCTTGCATCTACTTCTACGGGCAGTAGTGCGACCGCTACAGTTCCTGCAGCTTGGAAAATTTTGCTTGGGAGCCCGAGGTCCGCCCTTTCGACGTAGACCAGCGCGGAGCTTCATTGACATCGATGCCTGGAGAGGCTGGTGCTTGCAATGGTTGGGTGGCTTTGAGGTTTTGGGTTGTGCTCCTGCGTTCAGGACTTGAGCATTGCTAGCCTGCGCAGAGGGCAACTTTCGGGATGCTGAGATTGGCGTTCGAGATATATGGGACAGTTAGACTTAGGCAGACTGAAAACTTGATATGCAAACTTGGGGTCATTAGCAGTGGGTCAAAAAGGGAGGACACTAACTACAAGGCTGCGTGTCGTTTCACTGGGAATTTGTGGAGGGTATCTGATTCTTGCATGACTTTTATTGATGCATGTAATCTGATTGGAGAGGCTCCATGGACGCCTGAACACCTTATACAACCACCCACCGTTGGCATTGATTTTACGATTTGGCTTGTTGCGGTGTTTGCATCAGGATGACCTTCCGCTGGGCTCGCTTTTTTGGTCTTTGCTAAGCACGTCCTGGTGTTCTTTGCAGCTTTTAATTCTATTGAGAAGGCAGAACTCTATAAGTTGGCCGTAGCATCTCGATGTGGAACCTGCAAATTCTTCTCGCTATCGCCGTATATATATATATATCTATACACACATGCACATGCATCTGTATATGTATATGTAGACTCGAGAACTCCTCAAACGTCTTGATCCTGCCCAGCCCGACTTTGGACCCAGCATGCTGGAAGGCTCGCGTCTCGTCGCGACCTCGGATTGAACGATCTCTGCCTTTACGTCACAAGGCTAAGTGGAGCTATGGGTCGGCAGATGGTAGAAACGGACTTGCGGCATTCATGGCAAATCTCAACACGGGAATCATGACTATTTTCTGTTGGGGGGCCACCCATCAACCCACTCAGCTGTGGCATTGTAGCTGGGGATGTGGAAGCAGGGCTACATGACGTGAGATGGAGAGTTGTCACAGTTTCAGCTCCGAACTCATGGTCGGTCATCTAAAGCTTTCACCTGATAGCATTGTTCACGGTGGAGCTGGATCCCAAGCCCGCCTTCAACTTCAGGCCGGGAGGAGTCGGACGAAACATTGCGGAGGTTGCGGCTTGCCAAGCAAACACAAGTTTGTTTGGCAGAGTGATACCCTTTTCTGAACCATAAGAAAGGCTTCAAATCTTACGGATGTCGTTTGTGTACGCCGTAGTATGAGCTGCGACTTTTTGCGGGGATGGTGGAATATTGGGGTCGGTTCAGAGTAATGGCAGGGCTTGGGCCTCGGTAAGGCATGCTCGGGATTCGGGTTTTGCCAGTGCCAGGTTCGAGGGCCCAGGGCGCAAGGCAGAGCTGCAAGCTTGAAGTAGAAAGTCATAAGTCCCTGAGTCGAAGCTGCGTGGACGACGAACAGCTGGACAACCCAAACCCAGAGTTGAAGAGTCCGTGGGATTGTTGCTTCCTACTTAGCTTGTTCACGTATCTCTAGCATTTCTAGGGGCGTATCCCCATATTCAGAGTTCCCGACCGAAGTACTTAAGGCGAGGCCGAGCGATGGTTTTGTGCAAGTACTCCTCCAAAGGAGCCAGCCACAGCCAAAGTGTGATTGATACCCTCATATACCAACAAATGCTGTTAGAGCCCAACACTGCTACATCCCCATATTCATGCCCCCAACACCCTAAAAGCCAACCCCCATGACCCTGTCTAAACCCTGGCCCCCCGATCCAAATCCACACCCATAGACCTACACCCATTGCAGCCCCAGCACGCCTTGCCTCGAGTTAGGAAATCATGGAAAATAGGTTATGCTTCTAAAGATTACATGGGGATCCGTTCCTTTATCCCTACTTACAAGAGGCAAATAGCTCCAATGCTTCCAATGGGTAGCATTTTTTCGCACACTGACTTTGCTTTTCTGGTCTCCGTAATTAAAAACATAAGGCCGCCCTCATGGGCTGCTCTGTGTCCCTGCTCGGCGCTGTGGGCGCTGATGCGGGGGGAACAGCGCTGCTGGGGGCCTGGGCAGGGGTTGGGGTCTCGGGTTTCTGGACTACTCAAACGAGCGGTGCAGTTTTGTTGGGTTTAAAATGTAGGCAGGGTTTGAGTTTGGTGGATTAGCTTGTCTAGTTTGACTTGCTCCACAGCATATTGTCTAGGCTTATGGCAGCTTTAGGGTTGCTGCCCTTGAGGACTTGCCGTTGTTTGGAAAGGTCAGAGGCTGAAATGATGTTTTGTATTGAAGAACTTGAATTGGCAGAGGTGCTTTCCGTGCAGTACACCTACAGCACTAGCCTTACAGCAATCATGTCGACTGCTGCTAGACTACGCGTCTTGATGAAGCTTGACCTCGCAAACGTTGACTGCCAGGAATTGCCAGGAACCAACTCCCAAGATCTTGGAAGGCAACGTCCACGAACATGTTCACAAGAAGCGCACAACTAGCATGGTCAACTCTTGGGCCTCAAGTTGGGGCATGTGGCTGATTCATTTCCGTTTTAGGCTTCAAGACGTGAATCATTCACCTGCAAAGGTCTCAATTATCAACAATGGCAAAGAACATGGAAACTGCTATAGTATATCATCGTAATTTACATAATTCTCTCCCCCTAATATGAGAGCGAGCACTCTGCAATGGCTAAAACCTTGCATTGAGGGGACCCACAACATTTTGAAATGCAGCCGCCAGCATGCTTTTAAGAGCATTTGACAGCCCGTGGCATCTCAAGGCTCCACGCCTGTCGTGAGAGTGGCATTGACATGCAGGCAGGAGACGTGGTGCAGTTGACAGGGATTATAGGGGTTATATTGGGATAATGGAAAATCAAATGGAAACTACTATAGTATATTGGGGTTACATTGGGGTTATATAAGGTTGGAAAGTGGCAGGGCAAATGGGGAGCCACCACCAGTGCAGGGCTTGAACATGTACTGGAAGCTCTCAGGGCAAGCATTTGGGGAAAGCCCAGCATGTACAGTTGCTAGTGCTTCTAGAACCTGCATTCTCTTCTCATCTAGTTCGAAGTGCGTGACTCACATCAGAGTTAATGGAGAGCTTTGCCCATTGCTTGTCCTCCGGGAGGAGGGTCCTGGAAAAGTTGTCCTTCCAAGAAAGCAGCAGCACACATCTGAGCTGTTGAGCCTCAGTCTCAAGCCCAGTTCTTTAGACTCTCGACCCTGACTAGCGGCAGGATGTGGAGGTGCTTTCCAGTGAACGCACGGCCGGATCCTTACAACTGCGCCATGCCTTTTTCAACTGGGCCCGGCTCCGGCGTAGCTGGCATAGCCTCAAGCTTGCAAGTTGTGGAGACCTCAGAGAGCAGAGAGAGTAGTTGGGCCCTCCACCATGGTCGTTTTTGCCGATGCTGGGTCTCAAGTCTTCTTTGACTGCGGGGCACCAGCCCAGAGAGCTGCTAGTACCCATTGTGAGGCCTCCAAACACGTGCTTTCTGCAGACACGCAGGGGCAGTCGTGCGGGTGTGCATGAAGCAGGTCATTTCTCCAAGCTCACTGGACCCTGAAGCGCACATCACAGAAACTTACTGGACGAATGGACTTCTATCATGCTTGAGGACTAACTGCCAACCGGCAGCCGGTGCAGTGGGTTGTTGAATCGGTTTAAATTTCCCTTGCCTCATAGGGACTCTGAGGGTCCCTAAGGGCCACTTTATTTTTGAGAAAGTCCTTTATAGGCACCTGCAAAATCTTAAAGCAAGGCCACCTACACCGCGCTGTTGGACGGCAAAGGCGAGCTCGTCGGTGCCGTAGCGGCTGGGAGCCTGGCGATCCAAACGTAGGATTTACGGATATTTAGGGGAAGAAAGTTATGCTTTGTGGGTTTGGGGTCTGTTGGGTTTGCAGCTTAGAGCTTGAGTGTTTCTGGGGCTTAGGTTTGGGGTTTACAGTGACATGAAGGAAACCTTGGTAGTGATGACCCAATTCAATCATAGACTTTGTACTTGCGGGCCCTGAGGACATGGGCATTCTGGATGCGATCAGCGCAGAGAGCGTGTCTCGGCGCTGCGGCAACCTCGCTCGGAGCCTAACCCGGGATTCTGGAACGTGGTAGTTTCAGTGCATAGCAGGGGAAGATATGGACCCCCCAATACTCGAGTCCTTCCTCTAGCCAGAAGGGAACCCTTCATGTTGAGAACCCCCCATGTAACTCTCTGAACAATACTTGTAGTAGCTTAGTAGTGCACGATCCAAGGGCACCCCTTATGCCAAGAGCATTTTCTCAGGCCAGTGGCTGCTATCACAGCATTTGACGATGAGCTCTTGTCTGATCTGGAGACCAAAAGTTTGTAAAGGGCACCGCTACATGTTTGTCTATATGTATGCGACACACGAACGGTTGAATTTGTCGAACGATAGTGCAGAAACACTGGCCACATCACCTGGAGGCAAAAAGTCTGGATATCTGGACGAAGGAGCCCGTTTAACTCCACGACCCGACGTAGCTACAGCCAAAATGTTCTCTGAGTGAGGAGCTTTGCATCTAACTATGCACTCCCCCAACCCAGTCCCTTAGTCTAAAGGGTGAACCCGCACCTACAATCGGAATCCTGAAGGACAAGCCAGAAAGGCCAAGACCCAACGTCGGAAACAGGGCTCAAATCCAAAGGTGCTTTACTTACAGCCTTAACCTGAATTTGAAATCCTGGAGACCGCAATCCCAATCCACCCTAAACCGTAAAGACTAAACCTCCTTTTGGAAATCTCGGCTGCAAAGGCTGGTACTGGCCTTGTCCTTTGCGAAGCCAATCTGTCCTCATCTGCTTTGGAGGCTTTCCTTAATTGGTGCAGTGTCTCTGCAAGGGCTTGCAAAGTTGCGAAGAGGCTTCACAGGAACCATGCGGAAATCATGCGACCCAAATCTTGAGGCAGTTCTCCTCCGACATGGGACAAGGCCTCCCAAGGCTATCCCTTGCAAATCAACAGCCCTAGTAGTGCCTAAATTGAGCCTTGTTGGGCCCTTATTGGGCCCTTATACACCTTGAATGGAGGTACGTTTAACAGGGGTAGACATCCAACCTTAAATTGCGGCAGCATGTTGATCGCGCTACACCCTGAAACCCGTGATTCTTGGAGGGTGTCGCTGATTGAACTTGCCACAGGCCTCCATGAGTCCGAGATAGTGAAACCCCGAATTGGAGGTTGATGCGTGTGCAAGATAAGGGTCCCATCTGTGTGCATCCCAAAGTATGAAGTGCCGTACCAAGGGCATTGCCCCAGACAGGCGGATTTAACATATGTAACCCATGATCAATCTACATCTTGTTTTCATTGTATTTGATCTTGCAATGAGACTGCTGATGCTGAGTGGAGGCTGGTGATGTCCAGCTCTGGGGCCTCGGGCTGTAAGCTTTCATGCATTTCATCTCCCCATAATTCTTGGGAAAGAGGGCACTCTAGGTGCTGCATAGTTTCAGCTGGTAGGATTTTTACCCGTTTTGAGACCCAGGCCTAAGCTTTACGGCGACGTTAACGTGCTATCCTACTTTGTATGCCCTGAGCCTTGGTTGCAAAGATGGCTGATCAAGTCATGGGTCTTCGACTTGGCACTCTAATCCGGAGACCACCCTAAACCCTAAACTCAAAACCTCAAGAGACATTGCAAAAAGAACCTACACCCTAAACCCCTCTGAGACGTTTTGAGATCAGGCAGCCTTGAAGCGTTGTCGCGCAGCGCGGGTACCCGCCTGGCGGCATCCCCGGATAGCCTACTGTTTAGGGTGCAAAGTCTCAGTTAGGGGTGCGTCTACGGGGGCTGCAGGATTTATCCCAGCTTTTCCGTGGTTCAGGGCTGAGGGATTCTAAAGGTGCTGGCCTATTCTTTGTCTATTGTGGCCATTTTTTGGAGGGGTGCACGTGGTGCGCACATAGGGCGCCTCGGTTTTTATGAAGATCGAAGTTGCGACTCTGAGAGAAGTGCACGCGGATTTCAGAAGGATACAGTATTCTGTGCGCATCAGCTCAGGGATCAGGCTTCCGGAAGCTTCTGGAATTGTGTTTTGTGTTGAGAATATGGCAGAATGGACAGCGTATCAGTGTGCTTGAGATGAGCTCTTTCCAGAAAAGCCTGAAGTGGCTTGCTCTCCTGGTCCCAGTCTCATCTCAGGCGTGCGCATCTGAATGTGCCGATTTCATCAGCTTTGGTTTTTGGGCCCTACTTCGGCAAGGACATGAAATGGCTATTAACCTTCTTGAGTATTGCAGCAAATTGCAGATCTATGTTGAAGCCAAGCACAACTTCAGCTGAGAGGTTCGATCCTGTGTCGGTGGCCAAAGCACCACGAGGCCCGGTTGCCAATGCCGGAGTTTTTGAGGGGCGGGCTCTAGGCAGATGTGGTTTGCCATGTGGAGTTCAGTTGATGGTCCGGGTATTCGGAAATGTTGACTGTTGACATGTTCATTGCAGTGGCTTGCCTTATAGTCGAGTGCAAGGCTCCTTCCAGATATTTGCAGAAACCTGATTAGGCCCCATATAAGCAAAATATTTGTTAGATCTGCAAGTTGCATGGTTTAGGGTTGCATGCTCAGCAGATGCCATAACCTGTTCTTTCTCGAGCACTTATTCGCAACATCGCGGTGGATGTGTTCCTCCAAGGGTTGCAACCAGCTCTCCAGGGTACCGTTCACGGAAGAGTGGCTTGAATATCGAAAGGGGGAGGACGAGAAGGATGCAGGGTGAATTCCAAGTGGTGTTTCCCAAGATTAAACTGTAGTTTAATGAGCATCGCTATCAAACCGGGTAAGATGAAGTGGGGGCACCACGCAACGAGACAGTCCAGAGACATTGTGTCAGCGTTGGCACCAAGCCCTTCTCGGTCTACCTTCTTCACTGGTCTCCAGTATCAATCCGACCCTTGCACTTGTGGCATTAGTTAGCATCAACCTTCAACCCTCTGAACCTTTCACACCTGCGCATCCATTTAACAGCAGGCGCGAAAAGCTGTATCTTCTAAAAAAGCTCCACACACAGTGTAAACCGAGCAACTTCATTGAGGGTGCCTCTCTCTTCCATGGGACTTGGCAGCGCCGAATGTCGATGAGCTGCTGGCAATGCTTGGTGCGCCAGGGTTTCTAGCGATCCACTGGGTTTATGAGGTTCATTCACCCAAGCAACAGCATCCTGAGTAGAAGGCCCCCTACTTGTGGGGAAGACCGTTGCGGTGACTGAATGCATGATTTCTTATATGGGCAACTTGAGCCCAGGGGCCGCGAAAAGCTTGCTTGCAGATTTGGGAGTCCCAGCTTAGTGGGTGTGGGGTCAACGGCGCGTTGGGTAGCGTGTAGTTTGGATCTTCCGATGTTGCTTTCTTTGGCAGGTCCTTGTGGGGATGCATGAAGAGAGCATGGGAGTTGGCCACTTCACAAGCGCTGCAGCTTTCGAGACTGTGAGTCCTTCTTTCCGGTCTGTGGTTCTGGGAGGGTATATCTCAAGCAGGATTCTGTATGGGACGCTCAGCTGCGTATTGCTTTTCAACAGTAGTGCTTAATGTTGGGAGGTGTCCGTCCTGAATTGCTTTCGTCGCCTAACTCGGGCCTTCTGACGCCATGAGCCCATTGGGACGAGTTGTCGTTTGAGTTTGCCTGCAGCTACGCATTTGGGATAAAAGCTGCATCCACTTTCCAACCCACTAGGTTTTCAAAGAGGCATGGGGGACCCATATCCCTGGAAGCAAGAAAATGATTGCCATGTTAGTTCTGTATTGCTTGACATGAAGCTTCTTCATTTGTTTCAATTCAGGGGCGTTCGCTGTTGTGCAGCCTTGCTTGAAATATTGGGTTCCTGGAAGGCAGTTCCCAGTTCGCGTCTCGGCCAGCCTTTTCCCTATCCCCTGGCTGAATTGCCTAGCCAAAATCCATACCCTACATAGGCCCATCCCTGAGCGTCTTGTCTCAGAGTAGCCTACACAGCAGCTCACTTTTGGCCTGGCTGGCCTTTTGAAGCTTGGTCCCATGAAAGCCTAAACTTGCCAGCACCGCTGGGACTGATGATCGCTTTGAAGGCAACCCTGCGCGGTGTACCTGACATGCTACAAGCACCCTCTATCCCCCCTTGCAGCCGGCCAGCGATTTCCCGATAACTTCCGATGCAGAACGCCGTGCCGGGGCGCAGCAACGACGGGAAGCCAGCCTTTGCGAGAGATGTCGGATTGATGCTGAAGTTGGCGTGGGGGAGAGAATCCCATACCTATCCTTATGTAACCCCGTAGAATCCTCGTAGACAAAACCGGCTGTTTGTTTTCACTCCCTCACTCGCCCTTAAGACGCAAGTAAGATGCTGTAGCTTGTCGAAGCAAATCTCAGTGCCCAGGCTGGCTTGGTTCTTGCTTTTGCGGAGCTTTTTTGCAGAGTCTCGGGGCAGTGTTAGACCACTCTGCGGCGTCAGGGTCGTCATTATCCTACGGCCGGTGCAAGGACCATGGGCATGAAAGGCTCAGCCCCAGACTGAGCCGACAACTCCAAATCCTACACACCGCATTGGTCACCTCATCCAATCCGAGCAGCCCAACCCCCTACGAGCGCCAGGTACAACAACTAGAACAATCGCAGCTAGTTTCACTTGTGCTCTTTGCTTGACAAGCAGATCTAAACGTTGCTATGAGCTTCGAACAGAACAACAAGTCATATAGCTATTATTGATATTATTGTTGCTGCTCTCATTCTGGCTGCCATTATTGCTATTGCCATAAATACTTTTGCAATTATTAATATCAGATTCCTACTACTATTAGTATTGTTATTCTTCTTCTTACTCTCATTATCATCATTAAGTCAAAGAGATCAAACCCAAAGCTCCAAAATTCAAGCTTCAAAGTAGCTGATTTCCATCCAGATGGTGCTAGTAGATGAAGCTTTGGGCTTGCGGTTTAGGACCTGAGACCCCCATCATCATTCTCATTCTTCATTTTTGAGGCCCCTCAACCCAGAATCTGAGCTACCGAACTGCAGAGCTTTGTAACGACGCCATGGGGAAGGGAAGGATGTTTTAAGAGCCCGACCCTTGTGAGAAATGGTAGCTGTCCCAGATCGAGGGACCTCAATATAGACCCCCAAAATACTATAACTGTTTTTGCAGTCCGAATCCCGCAAACATGGTACCCCTAATTTTGGAAAACCGCAAACCCTAATCCCTAAACCTTATATGCCCCTAAATAACTCCTATAATCCCCAAAATGCCCAACTGTTCCTGTCACGGCCCTCCCGTTTGGCAGGGAAGCCCGGAAGAGTCGAATGGGATTGGGAGGCCCGGCTCGGGGATGTGGTTTTCAACGCCTTCGGTGGTCACATAGGGTTATATTATCGGGATATACAGGGAGAATGGAAAAGAAAATGGAAACTACTATTTAGGGTTTAGGGTTTTCAAAGCATGACATTGACATGGGCATCTTCTAGCAAGACGACGGGTATGTATGTGTATATATGTAGTTGTATACAGAGATCTCAGGAGCGCTCGGACCGGTCCTTTGTGAGGACGGTAGCTCCTTTGTTTGAAATGCTTCTTGTTTTGGGATTTAGGCTTCGGGTCTGGATCGCTGTGGCATGATAAGCCCTAGGCAGACATGATACTGCTCAATCGTTTCCCCACACGCGGCCCAGCACTCAACATTTGGGACTTCTCACGATTGTTGGGGGTTTGGGCCCCTACACGCTTGTGCGGAAGTTTCATTCGCCAAGGCCCGTATCTCCTAAACCCTATGCGCCTACACGCTAAACCTTTCTGCAGCAGGGCGGTCTTCCTGCTCCACTGCGGGCGGCGGTGGCAGAAGCGCTGGCTCCAGGCTTGTTTTCTTGAAATCAGCGACTTGCAGCCACTAACACTCAGTCCTCTTGCTTGTAAAAGTATGACAAGAGGTTGCAGTTTCAAGGTCGCTCTCCTCATGTTCTTCGCCATCATCTTTGCTGATGTTATCATTATTGACGTGTTTGCTGGTTATTATTCTTGTTAATGCTATTAATGCTGCTGCTGCTATCAACTGCCGGGTATGGCCTGGATCATTGGGCGGCTTCTACCGTGCGTGAACGTCAGTAGCATAGCCATGTTTACTGGGAATCCATTGCCTTTGATATTGCATGAACTCTGGGTTTTGGTTCAGGGTTGCGAACCAGGGTGTGGGGTATGGCGCTTCGGGTTTGCAAGTATAGACCGAAGGACCCTCGGGGTTCTGGTTGTACTGTGGCTTAGAAAATGGCTTTGACCAAGTCTCTGGAGCGTACTGCGCATCTCTTTGACAGTAGTCCACAGTTGACCCACCAGCTGGCGATGCAACTGGATGGCTGTTCAACGGAATGTCTGCGTAGCAAGAATATGTAATGGGGCTGCATAGTAACAAGGGGACCCTTCCAAATTTGCGTAAGTACATGTAAGTACTAACTCTTCTGATGCTTCTCCAGGCCATCTGCAACTGCTAGATTCTGGTATCAGTCCATAGGGCTGCTTGCAGCACACAACTTCATGTCGTCGAGTTTGCCGCCTGCGGCTTCGGATTCAGGTCGAGGGTCGTGCCTGAGCAGTGGTCTAGGTGCCAGGATGCGTTGAAGTACATATTGAGCTGATCAACGTTTCACGAAATACACATGTTCCGCCGCTCCCAGATAATGTCTAGACGGCCTCACTATGCAGCAAGCCTTTATGAGCCTAGGAGACTTTATATTGCACTCTGCTGCATAATCATGAGATAGCAAAACCACAAAG